AAACACAGCCCCACCATTTGCCGTGGAGTGATACAGACTGCACTGGAACAGGGTAAAGCCCTGAAACACTTACAGCACATTGATGACATCATTGTGTGGGGTAATACAGCAGAAGAAGGTTTTGAGAGAGGGGAGAAAATAATCCAAATCCTTCTGAGAGTCAGTTTTGCAATAAAGCGGGGTAAGGTCAAGGGACCTGCACAAGAAATCCAGTTTTTAGGATTAAAATGGCAAGATGGACATCGTCAGATTCCAATGGAGGTGATTAATAAAATAACAGGTGTGTCCCCACCAACTAACAGAAAGGAAACGTAGGGTTTCTTGGGTGTTGTGGATTTCTGGAGAATGCACATTCCAAATTACAGTCAGATTGTCAGCCCTCTCTATCAACTGACCCAGAAAAAGAATGATTTTGTATGGGGCCCAGAGTAATGACAAGCTTTTGAACAAATTAAACAGGAAATAGTTCATGCAGTAGCCCTTGGGCCGGTTCTGACAAGACAAGATGTTAAAAATGTGCTCTACACTGCAGCTGGGGAAAAAGGCCCTACCTGTAGTCTATGGCAGAGAGCACCAGGGGAGACTCAGAATGAACCCCTGGGGTTTTGGAGTTGGGGATACAGAGAATCAGAGGACCACTATAGTCCAACAGAAAAGGAGATACTGGCAGCACATGAAGGGGTCTGAGCTGCTTCAGAGGTGATTGGGACTGCAGCACAGCTCCTCCTGGCACCCCGACTGCCAGTGCTGGACTGGATGTTCAAAGGTAGTGTCCCCTCTACACACCATGCAGCTGATGCCACGTGGAGTAAATAGGTCACATTAATCACACATTGGGCTTGAATAGGGACCACAGCAGCCCAGGAAGACTGAAAGTGATTACAAATTGGCCAGAAGGCAAAAACTTTGGAATGGCGCCAGAGGGAGAGGAAGCATGTGCTGAAGAGGCCCCACCATATACTGAGCTACTGGATAATGAGAAGCAATATGCCCTATTTACCAACGGGTTCCATCACATTGTAGAAAAACAGCAAAGGTAGAAAGCAGCTGTGTGGAACCCCACACGACGGGCTGCTGAAGCTGCTAAAGGAGAAGTTGAATCGAGTCAGTTCGCAGAGGCAAAAGCCATCCAGCTGGCCTTGGATATCGCTGAGTAAGAAAAGTGTCCGGTGCTCTAACTCTATACTGACTCATGGATGGTGGCAAATTTGCTGTGGGGGTGGTTACAGCAGTGGAAACAAAGCAACTGGCAGCACAGAGACAAATCCATCTGCTGAATTATGGCAAGATATTGCTGCTCGGGTAAAGAATCTGTTTGTGAAAGTATGCCACGTAGACTCTCATGTACCCAAGAGCTGGGCCACTGAAGAACATCAGAACAACAGGCGGACCAAGCTGCTAAAATTAACGTGGCTCAAGTAGATCTGGACTGGCAACATAAGGGTGAACAACTTAGGACTCGCTGGGCCCATTGACTCCTCAGGCCATCAGGGAAGAGATGCAACATATAGATGGGCTCGTGACCAAGGGGTGGAGTATTGCACAGGTAATCCACGAATGTCAGACATGTGCTGCAATCGAGCAAGCCAAATGGTTAAAGCCCATTTGGTATGGAGGACGATGGTTTAAAATATAAAGATGGGGAGGCCTGGCAGATTGATTATATAACACTCCCACAAACTTGGCAAGGCAAACATTATGTGCTTACAATGCTGGAAGCAGCCACTGGTTGGTTGGAAACTTATGCCGTGACCCATGCCACTGCCCAGAACACCACTTCAGGCCTTGAAGAGAAAGTCTTATGGTGGCATGGCACTACAGAAAGAATTGAGTCAGATATTGGGACACGTTTCCAAAACAACCTCATAGATTCTTGGGCCAAAGGACATGGCATTGAGTGAATATATCACATACCCTAACATTCAGCAGCCTCTGGGAAAATTGAGAGATACAGTGGATTGCTGAAAGCTACACTGAGAGCAATGGGTGCTGGAACTTTCAAACACCAGGACGTGCATCTAGCCATCTGGTGAGTCAGTACAAGAGGATCTCCTGGTCCTGCTCAATCAAACCTCCTATATACTGTACATGGGGATAAAACCTCCTTAGTGCACATTAAAATTATGCTAGGGAAGACTGTCGGGGTTATTGCTGCATCGGGTAATGGTAAATCCATGAGTGGGATTACTTTTGCCCAAGGACCTGGGTGTATTTGGTGAGTAATGCAGGGGGATGGAGAAGTCTGATGCACGCCTCAGGGAGATTTGATTTTAGGTGAAAATAGCCAGTGAATCGAACTGTCAAATAACTGTTATTGCAATTGGTGCCCCACAACATCCTCCTGTCACATCCAAAGCCTCTTGCTCCACTGACTGAGCCAACTCCACCTCATCCCTCCAGCCTTAAAGACTGTCATGACAGATGGAACCCAAAGTTATGGACTAAATTAACTCAGTAGAGATTTTGGAAGGGTGGCCCATAGACTAAGGGAATGATCTCTGTGAGACCAGGGGAAAGGGGTGGTGATTCCTTAGAATGTATTTGAAACCTGAGCATGACATAAATGGTGTGGAATAAGGGGTGGAGACTTGGTTTTAGCCAGGATAGAATTAACTTTCCTTGAGCTGAGAGGGAGCACAGCTGGAGGGGCAAGTCCTGATCAATCATTGGAGTATTTCATATCATGTGACATCATGCTCTGTGTATATAGACAGACATGGGCCCTCTCTGGAGCGCAATGTTTTCGGTTCTCTCAGCATGGCAGGATTTTCTGGTGTGGTTGGATTGCTGCTGGGGGGGTGGGGTGGGGTGGGCTGCATACCTGTCACCATGCTCAGTAAGCCACTGCCGCATTTTACCCATTTTAGACTCAATACTGTTACTGTTGTTTTCTTGTTACTATTAGTAAATCCTTTTTTGATACAACTTTAGGAATTTTTTCTATTTTGTCCCTCCCCTATTTTACTGGGGGCGGGGG